CACACAGTGATGTTCGTGAACAAAGGGAACCGGCTCGTCTGAGCTTTGCTTTTAGTAACAGGACAGAATTAATGATGTTGTTTTCCGCCACACTGCTCGGTCAAGCGCACTGACAGCGAGTGTTGTGTTGATGTGACCAACGGGAGGATGTCATTCACCCCTTACGATAAACAACCATAGCTTTACTTAAAAAAATAAAAATAATTATAAATAAATAAACAACATGGTTAGGCTACTATTGTTAAACCTTGGTAATCACAAATTAACCATGGGTTTGCTGCACTAGTTTAACCATTTTACCATTTAACAAATGGTAAAATGTTAAAGGTTTAAAATGGTTACATTTACAACCAGGGGCGTCAGACTGGGGGTAAAACCAGTACTGATTACCAGGGCCCCAAAGGAAAAGAGGGCCCTTGAAAAGTATGGAATATATTTTATTTTACCTGGATATTTTAATTTCCTAATTAAATTTCATGATGAATGTCAGATGAAACGTAAATTGGGGCGTCAGACTGGGGGTAAAACCAGTACTGATTACCAGGGCCCCAAAGGAAGAGAGGGCCCTTGAAAAGTATGGAATATATTTTATTTTACCTGGATATTTTAATTTCCTAATTAAATTTCATGATGAATGTCAGATGAAACGTAAATTTTGTGTATTGGCTGAATAACTTGGTTGATTGACTGACGGTTTCATGATCCCACCCCCCTTGCTAATGCGCCAAATGGTTTAGTCCATCTGCACGCAGTTTGTTTATGTGAGTTGAGAATCTGGTGCAGCGCTGTAGAAATGTCTTTCTCAAAGAAAGCCAAATCAGGCCACCAAAAAAGAAAGGAAAGACAGGAGAAGTTAAGAAAACAAAATGAGGGGAAACAATTGGTTACTGACGTCTTTTCAAAGAAAGGTGAGCGCAAACTAGAACACGAAATTTATAGTGCTAAACTGCTTGAATATCCCCGCGAATCCGCGATCGTTAGTGCTAAAAATGAACAGACAACCCATTGAAAGAGCAGAACATACACTTTCAGATGGCAATTTGGTTATACATGTAATCTCAGGTAAAGGCTACATAAATAAACTGTACACTAACAATGCTGTTTGCATACAACACACCATTATAATAGCGTAATTTTGAAACATGTTTAATTTTAAATTAATAGGCTATAATATCTAAAATTAGCAATAGTAGGCTAATCAGTGTCATAGGTAGCTTGTTAGCTCATCGGTAGCTACAGGTGAAACTCGAACAATTAGAATATTGTGCAAAAGTTTTTATTTCAGTAATTCTAATATACAATATAGTTAATATATTAATATAATGGTATAACTATATTATATAGACTCATTACATGCAAAGTGAGATATTTCAAGCCTTTATTTGTTTTAATGTTGATGATTATTTATGGCTTACAGCTTATGAAAACCCCAAATTCAAAATTAGAATATTGTGAAAAGGTTTTCATAGCTGTAAGCCATAATCATCAAAATTACAACAAATAAAGGCTTGCAATATCTCACTTTGCATGTAATGAGTCTATGTAATATATTAGTTTCACCTTTTAAGTTGAATTACTGAAATGAACGTACATTATGTACACTAATGTTTACAAATTAACAACATTATATTTGTCAGATTTAGTAGAAGCAGATCTTAACATTGTGAAACACATGGCCCTCAGTTTCAGAAACTGTCACATCAGGGAGTGGAGTAGCAACAGACCCTTCATCCTCTTCCTTGGATTTGAGACAAGTTGAGCTAATATAGTTCAAAATGAAAGCAAACCATGTTTAGCCATTCTGACTGAAAGGTGTTAAGTGACACTAACATCGTAGTGTGTTTTATTATAGTAGGTTATAATTAGGATAAGAGGTTAATATAAAATGTATCCTTCATGTAGAGAAAGATAGAGAAGATGTGATTGAGGATGATGGTGGAAGTGAAGAGAGCAGGGAGCATGAGTGTTGCTCTGAGCACAGTGTGCAAATGAGAGATGGAGAGGGACTGGAAAGTAGGCAGAGCAATTCAGACCAGTTTTTGTCAGAGGATCCAGGACTATGGCCAGATCAATTAATGAATGATCAGAGCGACACCATAGTACTCAGGCTGGCAAGTAAAGGTACAGAGAAAACTAACAAAATGCCACCTAAAGATATGGAAGGGAAACCATTTCCCATTTATCTTGAATTTGTAAAGTCAGCAAACGGCCGTGAAAAAATCAGAAGAGACTGGCTTATTCATAGTGAGAGTGCAGAGGCTCTATATTGCATCCCATGCCTTCTGTTCTCTCATGAGCTGACAAAGCCATCAAGAAGTGCTCTGAACAGCAAGGATGGAGTTAAATTAGCACACATTAAATGGCAAAGAATGTACAACAAATTGCCAGAACATGAGAAAAACATGCCTCATAAGCAGTGAAATGGAAAAGCCTTCAGCACTCATTACTGGCAGCAACTGGAGTTGATGGTCACCTTCAAAGACAAATACTGGCAGAAATAGAAAAGAATAGGCTTATTCTACAGAGGCTTTTGCATGTGACCCTACATTTGGCATCACGAAACCTTGCATTCAGAGGCAAAAATTCTAATTTAGATGATGTCCACAATGGGCATTTTCTTGGCACTTTAGAAAAACAAAGTGGTAGGGGGGGGGGGGGGGGCATGGGGGCCCATCAGGACTGCCTATGCATAGGGCCCGGGATCTTGTGCAACGCCCCTGTTTACAACCATGGTATTAGTAAAACTGGGGTTATACAAATGTTAACCAATACGCAAAAAAAAAACAAAAAACTTTTACTATAATAAAACCGTGGTTATTTTTCGTAAGGGACATACACATGAACCCAACATTCAGACAGAGTAGTGTTTTTTAAATAATGTAACATTTCTTAAGCATGTAATAATGTTTGATGGTTTATTTAATTGTTTCATACTGATTGTAAAAAATATAGTATTATAAAAAATTTAATAAATTAGTTTGGTTGAATGATAAAAGCAGGACAGAGGGAATGCATGTCAACCAGCTACGCATTTCTGCTCAAATCTTTCTGTCATATCTCTAATATCTGTTGAACAACAAGTCATTTTTAAAATTATGATAAAGTATATTATGTACAGTGACAAGTTTATGTTTGTGAAGCATTTTAAAATATCAAAATGTCTAAATAGATGAAGATCAGACCACATTTTCACAGAAATGCATGTCACAATGAAAGACAAAAATAATTTGATTAATAACACACAAACGGCTGTAGTTTTCAAAATGTTATTGAAGAAACGGAGTGATGCCCTGCTCTTTAAGTAAAGGCACACAAAGAACTGACAAATCTGTTCGTCTCAAGAAAGGTTGGTTAGTGTCGGACATGCCTTGATCCTAACAACTTACAAATGCATTCCAGAGAATTACAAAGATGGAAAACGCAACAAACACTTTGCTGTCTTGCAAATGTAGAAATTTCTGGACCATTACTCTCCCAAGAAGCGGGCATCCTGCAAAGATCATTCTAAGAACACAACGAGCCATACTGAAAGAGGTAGAGAACTTGTGGATAACAGCAAGTCTCTCAGAAAACTCTAGACTTAAAACTACACAAGTCTTTGTTCATGTGTCCACTAGATGCCAGCACCTGCATCGCCAAATTGCGTAACACAGTTCATTGGTTGTGGTGGTTTCCCCAATACAGCAGCATTGATGGCGGAAAGGGAATGTCTCGCTCAAGTCTGTAACCCTGTTACAGCTGAATGACGTGTTCTCAGCACAAACCTGAATGAGTGCATGCATGCCGCCATCTATATACTAGTATGTGCGTGGAGTGGCTTGGCATGCAAATCCCACTCACCAATAATTATTGGCTATTTCTTGTACTACTCACAGGTGATTGGTCTCCCAATACATCAGTATCAGCATCGTCTCTTTTCCTTCCTTCAGGGGACAAGGGTTATATACGAAAACAAGACTATTTCCAGTATCAACAAAAGCTTACACATTGACAGATGAAATTAAACAAAATAAATACATGATTATGATAATAACTGATTTGTCTTTAACCCTCTGGGGTCCGGGGGTAGACTCCTAGAGAAGTTTTGACATGCCCTGACATTTGTGCTTTTTTTAGTTGCTTATACACTCTAAAAAATGCTGGGTTAAATATAACCCATTGCTGGGTAAAATAGGGACAAACCCAGCAATTGGGCTGTTTTGACCCAGCGGTTGGGTTAAATGTTTAACCCAATCTTCTGGGTAGTAACCCAACTGCTGGGTCAAAACAGCCCAATTGCTGGGTTTGTCCATATTTTACCCAGCAATGGGTTATATTTAACCCAGCATTTTTTAAAGTGTAAACATATAAATGGCTAAAATTAAAGAACACTGTAATCAGCACAAACTGGGCTACAATAATATGTGAGCAGCATGTATGTACCTGATTGTGTTTTTGAGAAAACAACATTTATGCGTGGTTAGTGAAAAACTAAAATTTTAAAGTTACTGAAATAAGGCCATAAAACACATACAGAACATTTGTTCACAAGACTTTTGAGAACTGGGTCTTGAAGTCTAGAGTTTTTGCTTCAAAATGATGTGAAAATCATCCTGTTCACTCATTCACAGAAAACAATAAATTCATTTAAATTTTCTAAGACACTTTTTGTGTAGAAAAGGTGTATGTGAGGAGGCGTGAATGATCATGAATAATGCTGTGACTCACACCCGAGAAGACAAAGACCCACATAATGATCTGCATAATGAGCCTTTCAGTCAGGTGTGTGACTGAGAGGGAAGAGTTACAAGAAAGAATGTGAGGAAAAAAGTATATATTATTATATAAAAATTTGTATATATATAAGTATATAAAAGGAAGAAATTTATATATTTTTTGTTGGTAGTTTATTTAGAATATATATAACTATCACATAAAATAACTTCAGATTCACTTGTGAGTGCATTTAAACAGTTTATTAGGAACAAAACAAACAAAAAAACAACAACACAAGAGTCAAAACGTCGTAGGTGCAATATCCAAAATATCCAAAACAGTGGCAGGAAACTTGAAGACAGGAAAACTTAAGACAGCATAAACTGCATGAGAAAACAAATGGATGTGAGTACCACCACAATGATCTGACAAAGACAGAGCAACAGGTTCTTTTACACTGTTATTCTCACATCTGAAATAAAAAAGCAAGCATGCTGTTTACACAAACTACATTATTGTGATGTTCACTGAAAATAACAACAAAGAAACAAAATAGAAATAGAAACAAAGAACACAATTACCACATAGCACACATATTTTACCATACAGTAAATGAATCAAATTAAAGTAACGTTTGTAAAATTGTGAATTCACACTTACTCTATAAGATTCTGAATGGAGATGAAAACTGAACGAGACCTGTGTCCTCTTGCTGTGTGAGATGCAGGTGAAGGTAAGAGTGGTGTATTCAGTCCTAAAAGAATTTCATAAACAATCGTTAGCATTTTTTTAACAGTAGCCTACCTTATGCGTATATGCATACTTCATTAGAAAAACAATGTCAATAACAAAGAAACTACATTCTAACACTATCAACCACAAATAATATAACCATACACGCATAATAAACGTACAACTACTATACACTACACTGTGCACTTAGTATGATTTTCCAGTGAATTCAAAACTGAACGACACTCACGTGAATTTCTTGTGCAAGATGCCGATAAGTGATTAGTCAACAGAAGAGACGGACGGCAGCGCGTGAGTGTTTTGCTTAATACTTGTTTGTAGATCTGTTGTTTAAATTATTACTTGCTGCTACTTCTACTTTGTATTTTCACTGTAGTTTGTATTTTTGATTGCACTTACTGGTAATTATAATAATTGCCGTCGGCTAAGAAGGAGCCTGTGTTATTTGCATTGCTCCCTTCCTGCACTAAAGTGCGAACTGTAGTTTCGATTTGAGCAACTGCCCTGCTATAGGCTATTGTCTGTGCTAATTAGAATGGAGGCCACAGCTGTTTTCACTTTAGTCTCTTAGACACTGTGTATGTCTTTGATGTCTGTGCACTGTTCAGTGCAGCGTTCAGCCTCCTCGTGTAAAGGCCGACGAGTGTAAAGAACTGCGACTTTACCTGCGTGACTTCACTGAGCAACGAAACCAGCAACGCACTTAAGTACTATTTTTATCTTACCTTTACACACTCTCCTTTTCTGTCCTCTTTTCTCCTCCTCTATCATGTGTTTCCAAAACATTCCGGTTGTCTCGCACCAACGCTCTAACATCATATGCAGACGGCAACACAATCTTGCTAATCTGCATCCTATCTCTACATTTTCTACTGCACCTCTTTCTTTCTCTGTGGGTCTCTGGAATTGTCAGTCAGCTGTCAACAAAGCAGACTTCATTTCAGCTTTTTCTTTACAATCTACACTCAGCATCTTGGGCTTGACTGAGACCTGGATTTGTCCAGAAGACTCCGCAACCCCAGCTGCTCTAACAATGAGCGCCACGGCTGATTTTTACCCGCATTTGGCGGGTTGGCGGGTGTTAATTTCAAACCCTGACTACAGACACACGTAAAATCTTCAAAACATTCCATTCTCTACTCTGTCCCCCTCCACCACCACCTCCCACCACTTCTATAACATTAAACCTACATTAAACACTTATCTTATAGACAGCTACAGACCTGTCTCTCTCCTTCCATTAATAGTGAAAACTCTCGAATGAGTTGTTTTCAACCAGGTATCATTGTTTCTTACACAGAACAACCAACTGCATCCTAACCAGTCAGGCTCCAGGAGTGGCCATTCAACTGAGACTGCGCTACTGTCAGTCACGGAAGCCTTGCAGATGGCAAATGCTGATTCCAAATCATTGGTTCTTATTCTGTTGGATCTATCTGCTGCTTTTGACACCGTGAATCATCAGATCCTCTTGTCCGCCCTCTCATCACTGGGCATCACAGGGATTTTACTTCGCTGGTTTGAATCCTATCTCACTGATAGGTCTTTCAGGGTGTCCTGGGGAGGGGAGGTATCCAAAGCACATCAACTGGTCACTGAGGTTCCTCAGGGATCAGTTCTTGGACCCCTCCTCTTCTCCATATACACTACATCACTGGGTCCCATCATACAGGCACATGGCTTCTCCTACCATT